TTTGGAGCATGTGCTGTAACTGCTGAGAGGTGGAGCCTTCTTGGCCTAGTACTGCTCCTTCGCTCCTTTAGTCTCTGCGTGGGGACTGTAAGCCCCATCACACTTACCTAGGAGCTTAGCTTTAGGAACATGAGACGTCACAATGAGCAGGACTGGGGACCAGAGTAATAGACAGACATACTTAGGAGAGTTCAAACGAAGTGTGACTCTCAGACTGAAACCAAAATAGGCATAAAAGAAATATTTTAGGGTAATCCTTTTTTGAATTTTAAACTTCCTTTTCTCAGTTTTCAAGTTGTCATGGACTTTCAGTGATAGCACCCAATTTACCTTTTTTCTTTTCCATTCATAGCTTTGCATTTATATTTCAATCAGTTCAAACCCTTAGCACTGGGCCCCTGCCACGCACTCAGTTAGGATCCGTTAGCTGTTCTTACCTGTAACTCACTTCATAGACTCAAAGAGGTTAGTCTTGTGGATAAAGCACCTATGGGGGTGGGCTACACTTGAAATTTGTTGTAAGTTGAATTATTTTGCATTAAAGTAACCTGTATCCACAAACACATTTTTTGTTGCAAATATTAACTCACTTTGAAAGAGGGCTTACTGAGCCTCAGGAGCTCTGGGTTCAATTCCTGGTTCTGCCACACACTTCCCGTGTGACCTTGGGCAAGTCATATAGCCTGCCCACTTGCCCATGTGTAAAATGCTTCCCTATTTGACACAGGGGTTGAGCATAAATTTCGTTAATGTTCAAGTTGCTTAGATTCGATGGTAACTATTATCATATTGTGGTAGTCCCTAGGATCCCGAGCTATGGACCACTGTGCTAGATGCTGTACAAACAGAACAAAAAGACAGTCCCTGCCCCCGAAGAGTTTATAGTCTAAATAGTCTAATGGGGGGGGGGGGCAACATATGTATCTAGGTAGAAAGGGACTACTTAAAAGAGTTTTCATGATTTTCAAAAAGGACTAATTCAGAGTTTAAATTTATTAACTGCTCTTAACTCATCAGTTACTGCCCTAGAAATTAGTTAATACCTTTCTGACTATGGTTGAAATATCAAAAACAACAGCTCGAATGAGGTGTAAAACGTTAATACTAATGAAAAAACACTCACACGCTGGAATTCCTTAAACTCTTCAGGGCAAGTGCAGATGGCATAGCGCGTCTTCAGTGCAAATATTTGTAATAAAAATAATAATATAAAGTGAGCATTGTAAACTTTGTATTCTGCATTGTAATTGAAATCAATATATTTGAAAATGTAGAAAAACATCCAAAATATTTAATACATTTCAGTTGGTATTCTATTGTTTGCGATTAATCATGATTAATTTTTTTAATCGTGATTTTTTTTTAGTTAATCGCGTGAGTTAACCGCAATTAATCGACAGCCCTATAAAATATATTTTCCTAGTGTTGCTGATGTGTTTAACACACTGTCAGAGCACATCTAATTAACATGATATTAAAAACATTGGTGGTAGCTTCTGACCCATGTACACTACGGCTGCTAGGGTTACTACTAGAAAAGCTGAACCAATGTAAGCAATAGTGGGGAGATTCCCGTGGTGCACGCAGGGCCTTAGGCTAAATTTTTAAATCGTAGATGTTTGATCCCCATTGAGAAAAGCCCTATCTATGCTATATCTTCACTACAATGCTTAATTGAACTTGCAACCATTTAGTGACATGGTTGGCTCTAAACATGATATCTTTCTATACCAAGATCATAACACATGGCTATTTTACTTTATGAAAGGCACCTCGTAACTAGGACTACGATTTTGTCACTGTGGTCATGGAAATTATGAATTTAAATAAAGTCCATGAAATCTTGGAAATGGCCCCCAAGCCAAATGGTGTGACCTGGTGCATGGGGTCGCAGCACCACTCAGGTTTGGCTCATCTGTCTCCATCTACAGAGGGACAGATGGGCCAAACCGGAGTGGCGTTGCAGCTCCATTTGCTGGGTTACACACAGAGTGTGGAGCAGGGAGCTGGACCAGCCCTGCAGGAGGGGAGCTGCCACTGCAGGGTGAGTGTGGGGTGGGCTCATTCTCCCACCCTTCCTCTGAGGCCTCGCCTTTCAGCACCCCTACTATACTCTTGTGTATGGTGATGTAGCAAAAACGACATTATTTGATTACCTTTCCTTTACTTATTTTATCCCCAGTACCTCTGCTGTGAAATTACTAACTATTTCCATGCCAAAAATAGTAACTTTACTCATCAACTTAACTCATAACTCATGAGTTATTTACACATAACTCATATGCGGAACTGAAATGGGTAATCCCTCTTTCTATGATCTCTGCAGTAGGACATCCCAGAGCTCAATGCCTAATCTGCTGCTGGTGCCACGTTGTACACACATCCTTTGCATGCTCTATTCCCTGTAGAGGCAATGGGGATGGCTGCTCAAATTTTCTTAGAAGGCATTGCTACATGGCTGAGTAGCTTGGTAGGCATCATGGATGCACAAACACCATATCCATGTGGCTTGTATGGTGGGAAAATTGCTGTTAACACAACTCAGCTGAGGTTGATCTCACTAAGTGAGATGATAGTGTCCAGGGCCGGCTCTAGGCACCAGCAAAACAAGCTGGTGCTTGGGGTGGTACATTTTTAGGGGCGGCATGGCCGGCGCCAGAATGCCACCCCTAAAAATGTGCCCCGGCCGCCCTAGCTCACCTCCGCTGCTGCTGCCACGGTGCGCGAAACAGCTGATTCGCACGCCGCTACTCGCCCTCCCTCCCAGGCTCTCAAGTCTGGGAGGGAGGGGGAGCAGCGGCGCGCAAATCAGATGTTTCGCGCGCCGCGGCGGCTCGGGATCTCCCCCTCCCTCCCAGGCTCTCAAACCTGGGAGGGGGGGGGAGATTCTGAG